AATAATAATAATAATAATAATAATAATAATAATAATAATAATAATAATAAATCATACTAATACCATTGGTGAAAGATATTAAAAGAAAAGGTGCATAACTAAGCAAATGAAATACACTTAGCTTACTTTGCATATTAGTGAACAATGAACGATAATACGTGTCTTACTTGTATGTTACTGACACATCGATACATCATGTGTTATTAAACAATTTGGTGCATTTAAATCATTATAACCGTCGGAAACGGCTAGAAAACCTAATCTTATTCTAAATTGAATAATGGTGCCTGGCGATTAACTAACGAGGTGTCCTGATAATTGCTAAAGTTTGTTTCGAACTAATACTAAAAAACTAGTAATGATTTCGGTAGATTCACCGCGACGAATACTGTAACGATACATATCTTTGTTTCAATGTGAGACGTCAGAAATATATCGATGAAACACATATTTCTATAGCCCATAAACGTGTGGATACTTATACCAATCACTTTATATCATGTTATGGGACAATAAGCAGTTATCTCGTTTGAAAACAATACGAGAATTATAACTGCTATTTATTTATATATGTATATATATATATATATCGATCTCAATTTATGCACATTTAATTATTACAGATAAAATATGTAATATTAATTTCTGTTATATTTACTCTCGTTCTCAGAAACTAAGTCTAAAGGCCATTTTACTTTTTATTTCTAATCTATCTGTTGTAATGACAAGATGTACCTACTTTTTTTTTTTTAACATTCCTATTCATATTCATACATTGCGTGTGTTTGTGTGACCATTTACTTTGTAACTGTATTGACTATTAGAGATTATCTTACGCCTACTAATAAATTAATAGATAAATAATATTGTTAAAGGTCAAACAAATATTTCTACAAGTAACAATTAGCGTCTACGTTGCTAATATTCCGAAAGACGCATCACTATAGTTACATCGCGAAACATTTCCTCTAAATATCCTTCACTGACCCGTTCTGTTGTAATATACAGCGTTATCAATTTCTACCTAGAGAAGTTCAACCACAGTGTTACAACATAACATAAAGCATTTCAACTGCAAGTGTCAAACTCTTTTTGTAAACTACTTCGGAAAAATTTCCCCTTCGGAAGGAACAGTTCCGAAAAAGTACGACATATAGAGTTCTCAACTACTGCAACTCCAACTAATTATTAAAATTTAATAATTGCAACGGGAAGTTATCCACCGACAAAGGCATGTCAAGATCTCAAGGAGATCCTTAAACGGTAGACGTTTGCTGATTATTGTTATCCAACGGAATACTTGTCGAACATTCTTTCAACATAGCTCGCAATCGAAGAATTTCCTTTGAAGCGGCTGCAAGGTCAGATTGTAACTGAAGCTCCTTTTCCCGCAGACGTTTTATATCACGTTGGCAAGTCTATAAAATAAAGTCATACTTAAGTCGTCGCGTGAACGCGAGGTATGGAAACCTATCATATCTTTACACATGCACTTACCACATTTTGCCTCAGTAAATCCAACTTGTCGCATTTAAGCCTGGTTACTTCCATCCGTAAATTTTCATTCTCTAAAACGCCGTCCTTAGCAGTACACCTTGCTGTATCGTGAGTTTCAGCTGAGCTCATCGATTCGAGGCCTGTATCGCTGTCCGGGTATACAGCCTGGTCTAGCTCAAGCTCGCTGTTCAATGAACTATCGTCACTTTCCGAAATAACACGCTGGGTCGTTTCCGTCTTCTCGGATCTCTCTTGTTTCCGTAAGTTCTCGTGAGTCAGTCTTTGAACGGACGATACGGACGTTTTATCTACCACAGTGGTGGTATCGTTGCTAGCGCAGATTGAGGTGGTGGATTCTCTACGATCGACCTCGTCTTGCTGTAGGGTGGCCAAACTACTATCTTGATTGTCTGTGTTGGATAAACTGCTATCCTGACTGCCTAAGCTAGGGCTTCCACGTTCTGAGTCTCTTCTGAGGGTTAAATCCGGCGAGCCTAAGGGACTGGAAGGCTCTACCGAACGTTTGCTGCTAATTTTCGTGGTCGATTGTCGATTGCTCGGCGGGCTAGGCTCCGACTGGCCCTTCTTTGATAATTGCTGCGGCACGCTCTCCGTCGAGGCGTTTCTAACACGCGATATCAGCGCTTTTCGAACGGTATCGATGAACCTAGAGCCGCTTCCGCCGCTACCAGACCCCGACGCGTCGCTCGCTGTCGGACTTACTGGACAATTCCCTCCGAATCCCAAACCGGTAGCTCCCAGGCCGATCGCTCCGCCGAGAAAGTCCGCGGTCTTCGTTTGCAATTCCTCCGTTAGAGATTCCAAGAGAGCTGACCTCGTTCTTAACTGTTAACGTTGGAAAGATTATTAGCGTTCATTCAAATGTAGAATAATTTATTGCTATCGTTATAGCTTTATCACAATTATCCCGGCGTAGCTTTGCACGACGCAATTACCTCGAGCTTTGAAAACTTCTCCGCCTTGTACGCCGCATTCTCGGCGTTCACTAATTTCGTCAAAAGGAATTCCTTGAAATCGACTCCGCGCAAAAATACAGCTGGCGTTGGCAAAGCTGGACCAAACCAAGGAACGTCGTTTCGTGCCGTTATACTGACCTTGTACCTACATATAGAATCCAAATGAACATCTAGAAATAACGTACCGCCCGAAAAATTTGTCAACCGAGTGCCGCGATTAATAAAGAAATTGAATGATCAGTGAAAACGATGACTTGTCTCTTCTATCTAACGGAACATTCGGCGTAGTACTCCGGATGTTTGACCAAAGTTAGGAATAGCGATTTCGTAACTCGCGTGCTGGTACTTTGTGCGACCTTACGCACAAATCTAAGAATATACCTGGTATTAGGAGTGCAGGGGTCGACGACCTGTACCACGATGAATGCGTGTAAGAAGTGGCTGGCGATCATATCTGGACTGAAAGGGGTTGGCTCCTCTTGGAATATTATCGCGACGATGTCATTGCCGATGTGTCTTTTACGCTGCAATTGCTGAGAGTCCCCTGGACTGTATGGCAACAGAGAAGCGACATGGAACAGCACTTCTCGGCCTCGAAATACTTCGTATACCGCGGAATCTCCTGTCTGCCCGTGTCGAGTGTCTAAACCACCGCGGTATCTGCAAACGTTCATACAGAAATTCGAACATCATACATTAATTGCTTAATTGCTTTCGAGAAAACCGAAGAATAATAGTCAATAATTACATTATTTTAAAATAATACTTGTAATGTTATTATCTCGTTATTTAACACTACGATATATAATATTATATTCAATTATAACTTTTAATTAGTGATGTTTCATGATAAAATGTTTCTCAATGAAGTGAAGTTTTCAGTAGAATCGCGGGTTAAATTAAAGTAGTATTCGATTAGTTTTAGAAACATCCTGTCACGATTGAATACCAACCCTTTGTGATCTTTCAAGTCGATTTTCTGGCCCAGCAAGTCGAGAAATTCTTGGAAAGCTGGCGTAATTTGTCTATTTCCAAAGAGTTGCTCTTCGGTGACTTGGCCGGCACGTTGGTGAAGAACACCGAATTTAAACCTCGACACCAGAGCATGTTCGTCATATCGTGCTATCAGTGTACCGGCACCAGAACAGACAACAGGCATCAACGTGGTCACGTTCAGGGATTCGTTGATCGCCTGTAAAAAGAAACTGCGTCATGCTACACCTTGTCAGTAGATTACGGTC